GCGCTGCTGCACCCACCGCCCGCTCAACGCGAGCGTGACGGGGACAGGCTGCCTCCACACAGCCTCCGTCACCCACACAGACACACCAGGTACCCCAGGAGCTAACCCAGGCCACCCGGGCTCTGCCTCGGCCCGCTTCACGACATGCAGGAATTAGCAAGGGGAAGTAAGAGGGAAAAATTCCCTGTTCAGCCCCACCGCCCCTCTGTGGGCACGCGAGGCCTGCAGCACGCAGAGCCGGCTGCGGGAGCATTCGAGACAGGGAAATACAGACCACTACCAAGGCATAAGAATGCTCAGAAACTGGATTTAAAGTTAAAAAAAGAGAGAAAAGCCATTGCACTGGCTTTTTTCCTTCAGAAATAGGGAGCAGGAGATGGGGAAGCGAGGCGGGACTCACCGGTAGGCCTGGTAGGACGGCGTGGGCACCTGCTGCTCCCTGGCCGGCGCGTCGCGCGGGTCGGCCGGGGCCGGCGATGCCGCGGGAAAGGCCTGGCTGCCGCTCTGCTCCGCCACCCAGAAGGGGAAGCCACCGCTCACCACCACGGGGTTGCTCTCCTCCTTCACATCCACGTCCTCATCTTTCCCGAAGTCTGGCTCACGGCAGGGAAAAGAGGGAATGGAAGAGAATGAGGGGGGGGGAAGCGAGAGCCCAGAGCCTGTGACGGCCTGGTGAAACCCCGGCAGGGTTGGCAGGGGGTTGCACTAACGTGGCTTCTGCAGCCATAAGGGACTAGTCCTTGGCTGGCTCCTTCGCCCTCACGCTGTGCCATTCGGTCCTGCTGCTGCTGTGTTTGTGCAAACAGCACTGCAAACTGCAGCAAGGAACGATCAGGCTTAAAAAATAACCTTTCAGAAGCTGTTAAGTTCATTTTTAAATGGTACCAACTCTCCCCGGGCAGGGGAAGAGAGCACATCTCCTGATGCTAGAAACAAGGGCAGAAAGGACAGCTCTTGTTTGGCAGGACACACAGCAGAGCTCTGCCAATGCCCCCTTCTCATCCTCATGGCCCAGCCACATCTAGGAATCGCCCCTATCGTGTTTGTGGTTACCAATATTACCACGTTCCTCAGCACCGGGCTCCTTTTCCTCGGGTAGCTTTCTCTTCTGGCTTTTGGCTGGACTGGATTTCTGGCACTTGGCTCGTCCTTCCCTGGAAACAGTAAATGGAGGAAGTGGATAGGAAGGTTTTCCACTGAGATAAACAAGCAAGGGCGGCTGGGCAACAGCCCTGGATCAAGGAAGGACAGAGCAAGCCTTCCCGGCATTGAGTGGCCCACAGGGATATACACACATATATGTATATGTATATGTGTGTGTGTGTGTGTGTGTGTGTGTGTGTGTATTCAACTATGACAAGCATATATATGTGTGTGTGTATATATATATATATATATATGTATGAATTCCAGAGCTTGCCATGCTACCTGCCATGAGCACAGGCTCCCAGCATGTGTGGAAGATGGAGGGCCTGTTGCTTGAAAGCATTTTCAGAAAATGAATCTAGTTTAATCAGAAATAGTCCAAATAGCCCTATTAGGAGGAGAAGGAAAATCCCTGACATTTTCAGGGTTTGTTTAAACTAAAAACAAAAATAAAACAAACAGGCCCTTTTCAATCAGGAAATAACATTTTTCTCAAGCAATGCAAAGCAAAATGTTTTCTCAATATCTTTTTATAACATATTCTGCTAGGAAAAAAAACACTCACACTTTTTTCTCATCTCCATTGCAAACTGGTGGTTGCATTTAAGATTGCTTTTATCTCACCCATGGGCTGCCCTCAGACCAGACCAAAGACCACACTGGTAGTGGCATCCAACTTCCCTTTTGCAGATAAAATTTCCTATTGGAAGAGATGCTTTTCCACTAAGAGGAATTGAGAGGAGGGAACCTCTGAGCAGCAGAATCAAGTTTATCTCAAAGCCACACAGTGATCTGCTGTGGACTCCCTTTACTGCAGCTATTCAGATGTCAGACAGCAGTCTAGATCCAAACTGCGA